ATCTGAAAGCACATTCTTGGTACTTCATGGACCAGTAGGTGCCCCTCTGCACTGTTTCCTTCAGATCCACGAGCCGTGGAAAGTATGCCGTTCCACCTCTCCCTTCCTTCTTCAAAGGACTATCCCTAAGAGCAGAGCCGCTTCTCTATGCTTTTCCCAGAAAAACTCCCTTGTCAGTAAGAGAGCTGGGAAATTCTAAAAAGGAAACTATTAAAATTAAGACCTTCATCATTCAGTTTGGAACCTCTGAAAATTAAAGCATTGTGTTAATATTTCAGATTTTTTTCTTTCTCTTTTTTTGGGAACAACTTTTAATTTCTCTACAGAGAATGTGAATGACCACGATAGCTAATATATAGGACTCAGGAAGTGGACTGATACGATCTCAGTTTCACAGATGAGAATTTCGAGGCACAGGAATTGGCTGAAGGCAAACACTAAGCACCTGTCAGGAATTAAACCTACGTCGCTGATAAATTAACACTTGGCAAGTGCCTCCTGTTCCTCAATGTTGTGTGTTTGGGGTTTAGTTTACCTTTGACCTTTTGAAGAGGAACTTTTTGACCTCTCCTTTCTCCAGAACAGGGAGAACGTGTTTATCAACCAGCATCAGAGAAACAAAGAGAGGGTTAAAGCCCTCAAACAGTTGAGTTTGGAAATTAATTCCATTAGGATTAGTACCATTTGCCCTACATAAACCTAACACGAAATATAAACAAGTCTTCACCACAGTTTTTCCTATCTTTTCCACCCCTTATTCCACCTAAAACATTGGTCCTTACATTTACTTATCTTTTCACACAGTCTAAACTAAGACTTGAGTAATTTGGTTTTTTTCCCTCGTTTCTTCCTGCCTCAGATTTTCATGATAAACCTCAAACGCAGAAAGGACAGGCGGGACCGGATGCTGCGCACACTGTACGAGCAGGAGATCGAGGTCAAGATCGTGGAGGCTGTCGATGGAAAGTGAGTTGCAGATGTGGTTGGAGTGAGTGTGTGACTCCTCTGACAGAGTTGGTTCTGGCTGGACCGCTGAGACTCTTCAGGCATTAGAGGATAGACATATATGACAATAAGTCAGAAGTGTTTCCAAAACATGAAAGACCCAAGAAGGAGAAGTTATGCATACACTGGTCATTTTTATACAATGACCTTTGGATTTTTTTAAAAAATTTCAACCTCATTTTTCTTGTCACTGCAAAACAGTGTGTGTCACAGCCTATGTACTCAATAAATGTTTGTTGAATGAAATTTATAAAAATTATATACCCCGTGAATGAGAGAGACAGAGATACAAAACCCCCAATAGGGTCTTGACATGTGAGCCACCTCCAACCATAGCTAGCCAGGATCCTGGGCACACACGGGCCAGGTGTACTCAGGGAGGTCTCTGGATGCAAACCAGTGACTTTCCTATAGGGATTGCCTCGCAGAGCATTGCGTTTTACTGCTGTGCCACCAGTAGACATGTTTTTTAAAATGGCCATGTGTCACTTATAGTAACATTTAAGTTAATTTCACCCTATCAACAAAGCCTGAATTCTCACCATCCAGAGATCTTTGGTCTTCCTTACAATGAAGACTCACACTAGATGTTTGTCCCTGTCCCTGGGTTCTAGCCATATTGTGATGGTTTCTGGCTTTCTGTAGTGGAACAGAAAGAATATGTTCAGAATTGTGTTCATAGCCTGACTTAGAGCAAAGTATTGAAGAAATAAAATGTCTGTTTCCTTATTATGTGTTCATTTGGAATAGGAGTGGCTTTGTTTTCTGTTTATGTACTCTCAACTGAGGAGTAAGACTAGCAGTCTGTGAAGAAGTTCTTAAGATTTCCTTAGAAAGTGGGACCAGCAGTTAGCGTAATGGCTATGTCGCTGGACTCCCACGTAGTCGACCGTGGTTCGTGTCCCCGACCCGGTGGCTTAAAATTCACGCCGGGCGCGTGTGCGTGCGTGCCCAAGATCCCGAGAGGAGAAACGAGGAGAAGGGATTGCGGCGTGGCCATCCCCCCGGGGGTGATTTCTCGCTTTCTGTCTCTCTGTCTCTGTCTGTCCGGCGAGTGCACACGCCCTATAGCAAAAACCTCTCCAAATAAATAAATTAATTAATTAATTAAATAAATAAATAAAAATAAATACGATTTCTATAAATAAATAAATAAAATAAAATAAATAAGATTCCCTTAGAAAGTCTCATCCATGTTTCTCAAAGTGTGACCTGGACACGCAAATAAGAGTCCCCAGGAGTGATTAAGAGGGCAGTTTCATAAGTCCCATCTCAGATCTGCTGAATCATGATCTAAGAGGCCAGGTCCAGAATCTGCATTCAAGAAGATTCAATATGGTTGCTGGATGTGATTGGTACCCATAAAATAAAATTTTATGGTTGTCACTCATAAAATACTGAACATTCAGTTAAATGCACCCCAAATATCACATGGAGACTAAGTTATAATTTTTTTTAAAAAACTCATTGTTTATTTGGAATTTAAATTTGACTGGGTACCCTGTGTTTTTATTTGCTAAATCTTTCACCAATTCGTGGGCACAGTAGAGTTTGGGACAATTGTTTCAAATACTCTCAAGAAAGCCAGTTCATAAACCACATGAACTAGGGAATCTAGTTGTGAAAGTTCCTTACATATTCTGGATCTAAGTCCCTTATCAGATATACAATTCACAAAAATTTCCTTCTAATTTCTGGTTTGCCACATTTTTATAATGATGTTCGTTGAATCAAAAAAGCTTTGCATTTCCATGAAATCCAACTTTTTGTTGTTAGCTTGGGCTTTGGGTGTCGTATCTAAGAATCCGTCATCATGCCCAAAGTCATGAAGACTTACTTATGTTTTCTTTTAAGAGTTTTATAATTTTTATCACATACGTTCTGGTCTTTCATCCGTGTTGAACTAATTTTTGTATATGGCGTGAGGTAGGGGTGCAAAATCATTTGTTTGCACATAGTTATCCAGTTGTCTTTATACCTTTTGTTTAGAAGACTGTTCTTTCCCCACTGAATTGTTTTGGCACCTTTGTCAAAAGTCAGTTGGCTGTAAATATAAGGGCTTATTATTTATTTTTTAGAGACAGATTTTTGTTATAGGGTGTATGTTCTCACTGGAGAGACAGAGAGACAGAAAGCAAGAAATCACCCTCTGGGGGAATAGCCTCACCTCGATCCCTTCTCCTCCATTCTCTTGGGATCTTGGGCATGCACGCACACTCACTCAGTGAGTTTCAAGCCTCTGGGCCCGGGACTCAAACCATGGTCAACTACATGGGAGTCTAGCAACATAACCATTATGTCATCTGCTGGTCCCCAGGATTTATTTTTGAACTCTCAATTCTTTAATAGACCTAATCTTATTTTGATGACTACAGTTCTGTATGTAAGGGAGTATGAATCCCTCAACTTTTTTATTCTCTCTCAAGAGTTTGGTTTTTTTTTTTTTTTTGGTTTGTTTTTTAAGCTATCCTGGGCCCCTTTGTGTTTTCACATGAATTAGAAATAACTTGTCAGCTTCCATCAAAAAAATATGAATGGAGATTTGGTGATTTTGATAGGACACATTGAATCTATAGATTAATTGGGAGAATATTGCCATTATGAAGTCTGACTCATAATCATGAGATGTCTTTCTATTTATTTAGCTCTTTGTTCACTCTTTGAATAATATTTTGTTATTTTCAATGTACACATATTTATTTTGTTAAATTTATTCATAAGTATTTTATTCTTTTTGATGTAATGATAATGGAATTGTTTTCTTAATTTCATTTTCAGATTGTTTATTGCTAAATGCATAGAAATACAACTAATTTTTGCATATTGATTATTCATCATACAACCTTGCTGAAGTCATTTTCAATTTTAATGGTGTGTGTCTCTGTATGTATATGTGCATGTGATGTGTTCCTTAGAATTTTCTATATACAAGACTGCGTCATCTGCAAATGAAGATAGTGTTATTTCTTCCTTTTCAATCCAGATACCATTTATTTCTATTTTTGGCTAACTACCCTAACTAGATCCTTGAGTACAGTCTTGAATAGAAGTGATAAGAGTAAACATTCTTGTCATGCCCCTGATCTTAAGAGGAAAGCATTCAGTCTTTCACCATTAAGTATGATATTAACTGGATTTTTCCATATTGCCTTTATTGGGTTGAGAAGGTTCCATTTTATTCCTAGTTTGTTAAGGTTTTCTTTTTTCTTTTTTTTAATTGTGAGTGTAGGATTTTTAAATGCTTTTTCTGTCTATTGTGATAATCATTTGGCTTTTGTATATTAATATGGTGCATTACTTTGATGGCCTTTCACATATTAAATCAAACTTGCAACCCTGGGATAAATCCTATTTTGTCATGCTATATAATCCCTTTTATATGGTGATACATCCTGTTTGCTAGTATTTTATTAAAGATTTTTCTATCTATATTAATAAGGGATATTTCTCTGTAGCTTTCTTATGGTACATTTAGTTTCACATCAGGAAAATACTGTCTTCACAGTGAGTTGTAGTCCCTCTCTTCATTTTGTATTTTTTAAAAGAGTTTGTAAAGGATTAGGGACAGTTTGTGTTGTGGTGGTTAAAGGCTGGGAGGATTCCCCATGTCTGACTGTGCAATTTGAGTCCCTGACCAGTGACTTAAAAACACATCAGGTGCATGTGTGCATATGCCAAAAATCCTGATAGGAAAATGGAGGGGCAGAGATTGCGGCTTGGCTACCCTCCCCGGTGGGTGATTTCTCACCTCTGTCTCTCTGTATCTCAGGCAAGTGCACATGCCCTATAGCAAAATTGAACAGAGAAAGAAAAAGAAAGAAAGAAAGAAAATGTTTGTGGAGGATTAGTGTTATCTCCTCTTTAAACATTTGATAGGATTCTCCAGTGAAGCCATCTATTAAGTCATGGGAAAAGTCATGACACGTTTTTGCATAGAAAAACAGAAAAAAAGAAATTCATCATGACTTTCCTGATCATCTACTTATAGGCATATCCCATGAGTTTTGGCATGTGGTGTTTTTATTCATCTCCAATAATTTTATAAGTTCCCTTGTGATTTCTTCTTCGACTCATCGGTTTTTTAGGAATGTGTTGTTTAATTTCACATATTTGTAAGTTTCCCAAATTTCCTTTGGTTATTGATTTTCAATTTTATACCATCATAGTTAGAGACTATACCTTATATGATTTTCAATTTCTTAAATATGCTGAGGTTTGATTTGTGATTTACATTGTCCTTATGGTTTAACATACAGCCTTTCTTATGAACTGTTCCAGGTACACTTTCAGTAATATATTTTGCAATTGTGGGGTAGAGTATTCTATAATTATGTGTTAGTTCTAGTTAGTTTGTAGTTTTGCAATAGTGGGGCAGGGCATCCTGAAGTTATGGGTTAGGTCTAGTTGGTTTGTAGCGTTATTCACTGTGTTCATTACTATGTAGTGAATATAGTGCCCTTCTATTTTCTTGTTGTTCTCCTGTCTGGTTGTTCTCTCTACTATCGAAAGTACTCCACTATTACTGTCTATTTCTCCTCTCATTTCTGCCAGTTTTTTCATCATATTTGTTTCAGGGCTCTGTTGTTAGATGTATATGTATTTATAATTGTTATATCTTCCTATTGGAGTGCCCTTTTTACCATTAAAAATGTCCTTCTTGGACCAGTGGTGGAATGGTGGCTAAGGCAGCTGGATCCCACATAGCCAACTGCACAGTTCAATTTGAAAGGTTTTTGCCGGCAACTCGCTGAACCTCCTTGTCCAGGGAGTGTTACGGCAACGGCGACCCCAATCAACCACAAAAGTCGGTTCTTGATGTAAAATACAAGAGGCTTTATTGCTAGCGTGCTAGGACTCCACTCTCAGTCATACAAGACATGGCTAAGAGTGAAGCCCTGAACAAAGGAGTATTCAGGTTATATAGACATGAGTCCGTGGGGTGAGGGGAGGAGAGAGTGAGGAAGCAAGATAAGGGGTATCAAGGGTAATTTTATGGCGACCCTGAAGTTACTTGCTCAGGCAAGACAAAAACGTTTTTCTTTACTGTTGTAGCCATTTGGTCAGGTTTGCAGGAGCATTTGATCTGGGTTTCCAGGGCAAGCAGAAGGGGGGAGTTTTAGAATACAAGGGTCTGGGCTTGCTTCCTGTAAGTGCTAAACTAGCTTGCCAGACTAGTTTGCAAATGGCTCCGGGCTTCCTGCAAGGTGCTATGCTAACTTGCAAATGGCTCCAGGCTTTCTGCAAGGTGTTAACGAATTACCCCAGGTTTCCACAACTTCAGCAGCATCTGCTTTAGTACAGAAGCAAAAGAGGCAAAGGTTAGATTTTATCTTTATAAGACAGGCTAATCTAATTTTATTCTTACAAATTCTCTTGAAAAACATTCTAGGGGCATATGTATGCATGTTCCAGATTCTAAGAGGAGGATGGAGGAGAAAGGATTGTGGTGTGGCCATCCTCCCCCCTCCCCGGGTTGCTGACAATGCTGCTCAGACAGATTTAATGTTAAACAGTTGCTGTTGATGGTTTTTAACAAGCACACTGCAAATAAGACTGTCAACAGAGTCAGCTCTGAGTCAGGTCAAATAAACACAAGCTCTAAGAATGGAGCCTTTTAGGGAGCTGCCAAACGGGCTGAGTAGGGACTGTTTTCTGGGGACAGGTTTTATCAGCATCCTAATTCAGTCTGCCCCTCCAGTGGCTGTTAGGCTACAACGTCTCACAACTACTATAGTGAAGCTGCTGGTTTTCCCAGCTTCTGTAACGCTGGGGAGGAAGGGATGAGATCAGGGCAGGTGTAAATCCCACAAAGCTCAGTGTGCTTCCAGAGGTCTAGCAGTTTTTCTTGAATAAACACTGCTTGGACTATTTCAAACCTTTAATTTCCAGCCTTCTGGAAAAGTTGATTTTGATCATTTTTGCCAGTATTCTCTTTGCTTGTATGAAGGGATAGATTGTCAGCAGTCCTTACTCCACTATGATGAAAATACTTTTCTGCTATTTTTACCTTTTCATCCTGTTTTAATTTTAGATCCAAAGGAAAGGCACACACTGCATGCAACCCTCTCTTCTTTTCTTCCTGCCCTACCCCTTTCAGTATTTAATGTGCCTGTGAGCCAGTTTTCCTTCACTGGGAGAATATGTATTTGTGTGTGTGTGTGTTTTGTTTTGTTTTATGCAAGAAGGCAAGTGCACATGAGAGAGAGAGAGAGCGTGAGCGCATGCACTCCCATGGGGGTCACACCACGATCCTTTTTCCAGTTTTCCATTTGTCAGGATCCTGGGCATGTTTTATTTATTTATTTGTTTGTCTGTTTATTTATTTATTTATTTATATAGGGTTTTTGTTGTTTGGTGCATGTGCTTGCTGGAGAGACAGAGACAGAAAGGCAGAAAGTGAGAAATTCCCTCCCTGGGGTGATGACCACGCCACAATACCTTCACCTTCTTTCTCCTCTCGGAATTTTGGGAACTCACACATGTGCACCTGGCATGAGTTTTAAGCTGCCAAGTCCAAGACTAGAACTGTAGTTGACTGTGGGGCAGTCCAGCAATGTAACCATTATGCCATCTGCTGGTCTCACTGGGCATGTTTTATAATCCACCAAGGCCAGAACTCAAATCCTGGTTGGCCATATGGGATCTGCCTTTCTCTGCTTAGTGTTTAACCATTGGGTTATAGGGCCATTCCCAGGAGAATACTTTGTAAAAGTTATGAGAAAACGGATGATGCTTAGAACTATGTTGGGCCGTATGAGGGATACACAAAAATACAAGACACCATCTTGTCTTCACAAATCTCATAATGCCACTGTGACGCACTGACCCTGAGGAACTCACAAGGATGACGGGAAACCTGAGAAGTCTTTCTTGGTGTGTGTAGAGGGTCTAGAGAAGTGTGTCAAACTCTCTTTCTCTCTCTCTGGCCTCTGGTGGAGCTGCCAGGAGTTGGTAGTTTTCAGACATTCTTTCTGTCATGCAGGGCACTCAACACAAGCCAGCTGAAGGCCCTGAATATTGAAATGCTGCCGGGTTATCGAGATCCCTATTCCTCCAGGCCTCTAACCCGAGGAGAAATTGGCTGCTTTCTTAGCCACTACTCGGTCTGGAAAGAGGTAAGTAATGTCTTATTCAGATGTGCAGTTTTATAATGGGGAGAAAGGACAGTGAGACTTTGTAAGTAAGTTAGGTCCAGATATAAAGTGAGCCCATACTGTTCTGGAAGTATGCTTTAGTGTGCTTCTGCCTTTGTCCCCTCTGACCTGAGGCCAGCAAAAAGGGGGGAGAGTAGCCCAGGTGCCACTGGGGTGATGATGGGGAAGATCTTGATGTCTCGGGCCCACACTCTTCTTAATTCATTCCTAAAAGAATGCCTTGTATGTATCCATGTATCATTTATTAACTGATTTCAGACAAGAGGTCACACAGAAGTCATGAAAGTGACTTGTGATGGCTGGAAACTTCCACCCAAAGGCAAATTATTAAGTGACTTGTCCAGGCAAAAGTAGTAGAGCCACAACCTGGACCCACGTCTCATAGATCAAGACATTGATAGAGGTAGTATTAGTGTGCGGGAGTCCTGATTAAAGACTAGTTCTAGAAGAAAAGAGAAAATGCCTCCGTCATTTAATAATCCAGTCCATGAGGATTTTTTTTTTACTTTTTTTAAACTTTCAAATTTTTTGAGGTGATTTTTTGCTATAGGGCACATGCACTTGCTGGAAAGAGAGAGAGCTAGAGAGGGAAAGCGAGAAATCATCACCACCACCCCTGCCCCAGGGGATGGCCACATCGCAATCTCTTCTCTTCCATTCTCCTCCTGAGATTTTGGACATGCATGTACAAGTGCCCAGTAATCTCTCAACAGCACATTTCGAAGGTTCACCTAAACATTGCCCTTAATTGTACTCAGACCTCCTCATATACCACTTATTCATCCATTCCCCTGCCAATGAGCAGTGGCTTGGATTTCACTTAAGAGTTATGATCCTTTTTTTTTTTTTTTGGAGAGATTTTCACTGTAGGGCGCGTGCGCTCGCCAGACAGACAGAGAGAGACATAGAGACAGAAAGCGAGAAATCACCCCCCAGGGGGGATGGTCACGCCACAATCCCTTCTCCTCCATTCTCCTCTCGGGATCTTGGGCACACACGCACATGTGCCCGGCGTGAGGTTTAAGCCACCGGGTCCGGGACACGAACCACGGTCGACTACGTGGGAGTCCAGCAACATAGCCATTATGCTAACTGCTGGTTCCCAAGAGTTATGATCCTTTTGACTTTCAGTGCTTATTTATCTAGTGAAGAATGGTGTCAGACTTTTTGGAGGGTGTCTTCCCACTGATGACCTTTGCAGGTAATTGATCGGGACCTGGAGAAGACTCTTGTTATTGAGGATGACGTGCGTTTCGAGCTGCAGTTTAAGACAAAGCTGATGAAGCTGATGGATGACGTTGACCGGGCTCAGCTGGACTGGGAGCTAATGTGAGTAGCAGGACCCGCTTCCCTGAGAGGGCTAGGAGGCACTGTCCTTACAAGGGGCAAAAAGCCTCAGCAGTCCCTGATGACATGGGAGCTCCTCTGCTGGGACCTGAGGATGCACAGGAGAACATAGACAGCTGGATTCCAAGGAGGTTCTGGGCTGACCCAGGAAATCCAGGCTCGCCAAAGGAGTGCTGGTTCTGTGCTGGCGTTTCGTTAAGTCCTTGCCTGCCTTCTTTGGAAATTAAATTCCTTCCTGTGTGCACCCCCTTTCTTCTTTCTCCTCCTCCTCTTTCCCCTATTTTGTTTTCTTGCTAAATCAAACTTGACAATTTGTTTTCCTCCATTAAGGCAGAAAGTCCCAGTGTTACGTGAGCTCCCAGCTGTGTGTCAAGGGTGACTTCATCAAATGGGAGCCTGTTCATTTCTAGCAGCTGCAGAAGCAAGCTGTCCCTGCTCCTCCCATCCTCAGAGGGGAACTTACCCAGGGCCCTGGTGGAATACTTGTTCTCTCAGAAAATAGACCATTCTGAGCTCTAAAGAAACCTAACAATGGTTCAACTAATTCATGGGAAGCAGACCCAGAAATCAGCCCTACGTAATGAAAAGGGACTCACTCCCTGTCCACGGTCAGTCACGTGATGGCGAGAGCTGGTATTCTGCTGGAGACCAGAGCTTCCTCGTCTGTCCTCTCTCCAGAAGTCATTGCACCCAGCCTCTCTGGGTCTGTGGTTCTGCAGCCTGTGTGTAAGGCCTCATGGCACGGAGCATAGAAGCTCCTTTATGCCATACCATGTCACACGTAAAGGCGACTTTTACTTAAATCTCGTAATCTCAGAAGGCTCAGCTGGGGAGTCCGAGGCTTCAAATGAGCATGCACCCCTGTCCAAAGCTGGGTTGGTGCGATTTTCAGGACATGGGACCAACGAATCCAAGAGGGGAAAATGGTTGTCCTGATAAGGATAAAAGGAAAGATATTTTCTAAATTCGCAGGTCGATCAGGTCAAAATATCCCTCAAAAATCTGTTAGATAATCTTAAAGAAGTACTACGGTTTCAAAATTTATCTCTCATTTTTTAAAATGAAGAAGAAACAGATACTACTTAAACCTAAACCATGAAAGCGAGTAAGCTGTCTGTGACTACTATATTCTTATTTTTTTTAGAAAAGGAAAATAGTTCATGGGTAGACTTGGGCAAGCCATTGGACTCATCTAGAGTGCTGTTCTACAGAAATACAATGTAAGCCACGGATGTCATTTAACATTTTCTAGTAATCATATTAAAAAGGTAAAGTGAGAGATGAGATTAGTTTTAATAGTGCATTTTAACTCAGTCTACCCAAACGTGTATTTTAGCATGTAAGTCCTTTTTTTTTTTTTTTCCTTTAAACTGTAGAGCACATACACTTGTCTGAGATAAGTAGAGAGAAAGAGCAAAAGTGAGAAACTACTCCCCAGGGGACATGGCCATACCACAATCCCTTCTCCTCCATTCTCCTCTCAGGATTTTGGGCACACACATTCACACATCTGGTGTGTTTTTCAAGCCACCAGTTCCGGGACTTGAACTGCACAGTTGGTTGTGTGGGATCTGGCCACCTTAACCTCCACACCATGTGTTGGCCCAACATGTAATTAACTTTTAAATACCATTAAAGAGATATATTACTTTTTTTTGGTATTAAGTCTTCAAAATCTATGCCTTTTACACTTAGAACACATCTCAATCTAGAAGCTAAACTTTCAGCTATTAAAATAAGTTGTATTCCTATCAGGCTTCGACTTTTAAATTTAAATTAATTAAAACGAATGAGAGTACAAACTCTCTCCGCGGTCACTATAGCCACATTTCAAGTACTCCAAGGGATTTTTCCTCATTTGATAATATGAGTCCAAAAGACAGACTCTTCGGTCAAAACAGACAGTGGCTGAGGGAGTGTACGTTTCAGTCCTCAGAAGAACCAAAGGTTGAGCACAGGCGTGTTCTACAAATCCTGGATGCCTGTCGGTTCTTAAATGTTGAAAGAAACCAACTGAGGGCAAAATGGAGGAGGTACTGCTGTACCCAGCAGGCAGGAAATGAAACTCCTAGACTAGTTCCAGTCAAGCTCAAATCGAAGAGGTCCCAGACAAAAGGAATGGATCACAGATCCACAAGCAGCTGCCTAGAAGTCAGGAAGGGCTGGAGGTCATCTTGGGTTGTAGACATTCATGGAGGACAGACATGCCTGGGTGCCCCTAGAGCGGAGTGCCCAGGAGGAAACATGGGCAAGCTCGGGGAGCGTGAGGGGAAAAAGCCTTATGGAGACACTCACTCGTGCTGGAGCTGCTCTCGGTTCCCAGGGCCTTTCCTGTGGCCTTGTCCTGAGCTTACCACCAGCACTTAGAGAGCTGGGCAGAAAACCCCCAAGGCTGAAACTCTGAGGACTTGAAGGCAACAAACTCAGGAGTCTCACATCTGTCCTTCTGTTGATATTGTTGTTACGTGTGTGTCTCTTTCCAGCCTCGGCAAACACGTCCCATCTCTGGGATATGACCTAAGGATCTTCCAGTCTCTCTACATCTTCATTTTCTGGATGGAACGTAGACCATTAGGCAGGAATAGTTGGGGTGTAGATACATGAAACCAGAAAAATGGCTCCAGGTGGTCATGATGTTGGCGATGAGACGCACTTCGCAGTGTGATCCATCTAATAAGACACAACCAGTCCAAAGCTTTCAAAGGTGTCTGTATAGACCAGAGCTGGGCTCCATTCTTATCGATGTCTAATGTTCAATTTGGAGTGTTTTTGTTTTTAAATTTTGATTTTTAATTTATTTTTTCCCTAAAAAGCAAATGAGAGAGAGAGAGAAATAACTTCCAGCAAAGTCTCGACGTTGCAATCTGCCCCCAGCTCCAGCCATCCTTGGATCGTGGGCACAGGCACACCTGGGGCACTCTGGGAGATCACAGACAGTAACCCAGAGCCCTCCCTGTGGGCCCGCTGCACAGAGCCGTGGCATTTTGCCCCCATCTGGTAGCTCTTCAAGATGGGATTTTTCTCCTCTCCCCATTTCCTTGTAGTTACATTGGTAGGAAGAGGATGCAAGTAAAAGAGCCAGAGAAAGCAGTTCCCAATGTGGGCAATCTGGTCGAAGCCGATTATTCCTACTGGACCCTGGGCTATGTCATCTCTCTGGAAGGAGCACAGAAGCTGGTTGGAGCCGATCCTTTCGGGAAGATGCTGCCAGTGGACGAATTTCTGCCAATCATGTACAACAAGCATCCTGTGTGAGTCTCCTTCAACTGCCTGTCCCTGGGTGCAACTTGGTGTTTTCTAAAGCTGGACTGCTTCCCCAAATGCTCGTCCCTTAACTGTGGCCAAGAGGCCGACTCCCGCGATCGCCCCCTTTCGGACAGGGAAGGTGAGGCAGAGGCAGGACAGTGAACTTCTTGCCCAATGGCCCTCTGCCGTCCGCAGTGTGTTGTTTAGCTGACCACAATCTGCGCGGTCTTCTCCCTGTGTGTGCTCTTCTTATTTCCGTAACCTCGTACCCCTCAAGGTGACGGTCATCTTTCTAAGTGCCTCGGAGCCTTCCATTTATTGCGTGCTCGGGCTAGCCAGCGGACTCATCCTCGCAGAGCTCTCGGTCTGGTTAGGAGTGCTGCCCCTGGACAGTCGTCATGAGATGCTGAGCTCCCTGCAGCCACAGAGATCTGTGAGAGCAAATAAGTGAGTGTGTAAGTGAGAGACAGAAAGCACCGCCAACACTGCTGGCCGCCCCCGGCCTCGGCCCGCCCTGGTCATGGGCACGCACATGCCTGGCTTGCGCAGGGAGGTCTCAGAAGCTCCCCATGTGAGTCAGTCTCACAGAACATCATGCTTTACCACCGGGCCACCATCTGGTCCCTCTTCAAGTTGAACTCATTTTCTTCTGCCCGTGTTCTTTTAGTGACGTGGGTAGGAAGAAGGATGCTCAGGGTTTGGAGGGGGCATCTCCATGTGATACTGAACATTCCCGTAGTGCGGGGCTTATGCTGACCTAGGCCGTACCCAAGAAGTCGGTGAGTTACCTGTCACTGCCCTGCACTCGCCTTGGCTGCCACCGATAAATCATGAACACTTTGAAGCAGGAACGGTCGTATGCCTCTGCGTCTTTAGGGTCTCACCCAAATGCTACCCATTGTAGCAGCCCAATCAATAATTCCCAGATTTATTAATAGAGTCTGTTCTAATCCATTCTGTTACTAATAATGGAAAGTAGTTTGAAACAGGGTGATTTATAAGACTAGAGGTGTATTCAGCTCACAGTTTGGAGGTTGAAGAACCAGGGGCACCTGGTAAGGGTCCCCTTGCTGGTAGGTTGAGACAGAGCAGAGCAGGAGAGCACAGGCCTGTGTCCACGTGTCTCTTCTCCTTCACTGACCTCGTTAGCTCCCCAGGCGCCAATCGTACGGGCTCTTCCCCTCATCTCCAACCAAAGGCCCCACCTTGCAACACCACTGTCAAATTCAGGTTTCAACTGGGGAGACACAATCACAGCGGAGCTAGAGACCACGTGCTAACTTCAGTTCCTTTTCTGTGCTTGTTGACTTCTGACTAGAGGGTCTTCATTTATTTTAATGAATTATTTAATTTAATTTATTTATTTATTAAATTTGACCAGAGAGAGACAGAGGGAGAGAGAGAGAGATAGAAAGTGAGGAAGCAAGCCACCAGGTCCAGGACTCAAACCGCAGTCAGTCATGTGAGAATCCAGCGCCCTTAGACACCATGCCACCTAGGGGTCCTGGTCTTTACTTTTTTTTTTTTTTTAAAGACTCATTTCTTTTATTTTATTAATTATTATTATAATTTGCTCCAGGGCATGCTCACCAGAGAGAGAGAGAGGGAAAATGAGAAATCAAGTCACTAGGTCCAGGACTCAAATCCACTGTCAGCCATGTGGGAATCCAGTGCCTTAACCATCACACCACCTGCTGGCCCCAGATGGTCTTCATTTTAACTCTTGAGATTCTCTTTTTTTTGGGGGGGGGGGGGGGGGGGGGGTTTTTTTATATGTTGGGGGGGGGGGAGAGGTTTTTTTCTATAGGGCGCATGCGCTTGCCAGACAAATAGAGAGAGACAGAGAGACAGAAAGCAGGAAATCACCCCCCAGGGGGTATGGTCACGCCATAATCCCTTCTCCTCCATTCTCCTCTCGGGATCTTGGGCACACACGCACATGTGCCCAGCATGAGTTTAAGCCACCGGGTCTGGGACTCTAACTGCGGTTGACTACAGAGGAGTCCAGCGACATAGCCATTACGCTAACTGCTGGTCTGACACAGGGAGATTTCTTGACTTTCAGAAATTCACAACCATTTCTGATGCTCTTTATTCTTTTGTGTAAATTCTAACATCCACCTGGTTTCATTTTCTTTCAGCCTGCACAATCTCCCTTAGCATTTCTTATAGTACAGGGTCTTGATGCCACGATCGGCCTCCAGCCTCAGCCAGCCTGAGCCACAGGCATGCGCATGCCCAGTGCATCAGGGAAGTTACCAGACACAAACTGGCAACCATCCTAGTGAGTCGGTCCCCCAGAGTGTCCATTTAACTGCCGCCACCATCCAATCCCTCCTGAAAGCTTTAAAGAGACCTTTATTGTGTGTGTAGACTGTAGTTTTTCATGAAGGACATCACTTAAAAAAAATAATGGAATGAACTCATGACCGTTTAAGAGACACTAAGCAAAACCGCTCCCCTCCTTGTCGCCGGCCGTAAGCCTCCTGCCGCTCATGCACCTGCACCTCTTGTTTTCAGCGCCGAGTACAAGCAGTACTACGAGCCCAGGGACCTGAAGGCCTTCTCTGCAGAACCCCTGCTCATCTACCCCACGCACTACACGGGTCAGCCGGGCTACCTGAGCGACACAGAGACCTCAACCATCTGGGACAATGAGACGGTGACCACCGACTGGGACAGGACGCATTCCTGGAAGTCTCGGAAGCAAGGTCGCATCCACAGCAGTGCCAAGAACACGGAGGCGCTGCCGTCGCCCACCTCCCTGGACACTGTGCCTTCCCGAGATGAGCTCTGAACGCCCCCTCGGGGCGGGACGGCTCACCGGCCTCTGGGTTCTAAAGGGCTGTTTCTCGGTTTGATCCTGGGTTTGTTGGTGGTCACAGGCACCTACACCAAGTAGTCGGATGTGATGGATCAAAATTAGCATGGTTTTGACCGTGGATGGGAACAGGGAAATTTAACCAGATTTCCTAGGAGAGCTAAGATAGGCTTTGAGAGGACCTTTGAGGCAAACTTCAATCCAGACCCCAGCTCTTCAGTTGACCACCACACGCTACTGCTTGCACATGTGGGTGGAACACCACAGTCTATTCTCATCCAAGAGAAGGTGTTCAAGCTGTCGTGTCGTTTGTGGGGAGTCAGGCAGCCGACACCACTGGGCCACTTTGTTGGCCTGGTTGGTCCATTTGACGGAACAGATGTGACTCTGAAAACTTGCATATGTAAAAAGTTTAGGACGGGATTAAATCATTTAAAATTATATTAATTGGGTTTTTTAGCTAAGGGGATTCTGTCATAAGTCTATGGCAAGGTATAATTTTGAAAACTCTTAGTCCTATGATCCAATATTTGGGTCTGGCTGAGACTCGGCCCTTGACCATCATGGCAGTGGGGCTCGCGTAACAAAGCGTCGTTTGCCATGTGGATATAACTCGCTAGGAACTTGAGGGTTTGTGTAGATATTTTAAGGAACAAAAGAACTCAGTCTGGCCTTTTTTATTGTGGCCCCTTGGTTCGGGATGCTCTATTTATTAAGATAAATGTAATATATAAAGGGTAGGGGCTGTGCGTAATTCACACACTCTGCTCCACCCCTTTGCCTGGGAATTAATCGCAGGTGTGAATTTTATGAGTCACTGTTAAAAAGACAGAGCACATTGGCAGGTCAGCAACTATCCTTGCCTGGGGCTTTCATTCTATTTTGAATTATTTATTTTATAACGTGTAGGGGAAATTGTCTGGAGGATATGACATTGAAGCAGATGTGAGCTTTCACTGGACCCCAGGGAGTGGTCAGTGTACACACGCTGGTTCAACAATCCCGGCTCCTGGATTTCCCAGCCTGACTCTCGCTGGGAAGAAGGCCTGTTGATGAGGGATCCTGGCTATTTGGGAACAGATGAGTCTCCATTTAAGGTAAAAGGCCTTGGTCAGAAACAATGGCCTGGTCAGCTAGCTTTGGTCAACAGCCAGGGAAGCTCTCCAAGTCAGAATCCTGGACAGACGCCCTGTGTCAAAAGATGTCTCAAAACTTTTTGCTGTTTTCATTTTTTTCCCCTTTAAGTTGCATGTGCTCACAGAGAGAGAGAGAATAAGAAATCACCCCCCAGGTGCAGACACAAACCACAATCCCTTCTTATTGTCCTCGGGATTTGGGGCACATGTGCACACACACCCAGCATGTTTTTCAAGCTGCCGGGTCTATGGCTTTAACTTCGCAGTTGGCCATGTGGGATCCAGCCGCCTTCACCGCCACACCACCAGCTGGCCCAAATATTGATCTGATGAAAAATGCAGAGCTGCAGAACATGATCCCTTCCCACTCCACAATCTGCCATGCAGGGCATCTCTTAATGGTTTGCCTCAGGTTTATGTTCCCACGCCCTCACGTTGTAAAGCATCGCCTCTAGGAATCCCCACCCCAGCATTCCACATTAAACCCTTCTTCCTCAGAGTCCCCGCACTGTGGCAGCCATACAGTGCGGGCTGTGCAGGCAACACCCGAGCGCCACTCTTACACCCATGGCAACCACCTGAGCGCCACGCTTACACCCATGGCGACCACCTGAGTGCCACGCTTACACCCATGGCGACCACCTGAGCGTCATGCTTACACCCATGGCGACCACCTGATTGTCTCACTTACACCCATGGTGACCACCTGACTTCATGCTTACACTCATGGGCAGGGCCTTGGAGCAGAGTCCAGGGTAGGGGCTGCTGCAAGGCCACAGAGCTCCTCAGGAGGGGAGTCCTGGCTCAGGACAGCAAGGCAGCTAGCCCTCTGCTGGATGACGGTCTCATCCAGCTCTGATTCCCACTGCTTAAACACAGCTGTCAGAGCCCGACTCAATTTTCTGGAAAAACAGAAAGACATCCGGGGGCTCGTGAAAAACCTTTCCGCAATTTCTAAGATTTCCTTCGGTATGTGGTATTTCGTTTGCATATTTGCGTGTGTGCGCGTGTGCTTGGCTTTAACTGTGTTTTCTAATCGGGCGAAAGATGGCTGGGTGTTCCTGGTGGAGGAAGATTGAGTTGATTTTTGTGTTTTGTTTAACTGAGAACACTTTTGTTGTTCCTTTTTCCCTGTCAGCTGGTCTGACAGGTTTAAGAATTCTCATTTTTGAAAGCTGTTGGACTTAAAATTCCAGAACTTTAGGTTAGAACTGTTCTACTGTGAATGAAGTTCTGGCTCTGTCAGCACCGCCTTTGCCTCTGCTCAGGTCTGGAACCCGGGCCTACGTTACTATTTTTAATCAGCATCATGAGCAGCAGATCCAGCATTTCCTTTAAGGTGTCATCTCTTCAGCAATCCAAAGGCGCTTCGACCTCATGGTTCGTCCTGCCTCTCTCCTAGTTCTACGCCAAGACATTTGACCTTTGCAATGTCACCAAGGCCTTCAGGACAGATGACCGCAGGCCCCGGCACCTGTTCTCTGCCCTGAGATCAAGCCCTGCCTGCATTCTCTCAGGATCCAAGGCGGATTCTTCTGGACAGACCACCCAGCTGGTGCTGCTGCATTGCCAGTACTGCTGGTACTGAGCACCGGCGATGTTCGGAGCACAGACTGCACAGCACTGGCTGTGGGTTATCCTGGGCCTGCTGCAGAATTCTAGAGAGCAAAAGTGAACTGAGCTCCCAGCACCATCCATGTCTGTCTTGCTGTGCCATTTTGTGGAGGAGTGGGGAGTGATAAATTACTTGCCTTCCAGAGCTTTTTGTGAAAAATTAAAAAAAAAAAAAAAGAAAAGAAAGAAAATAAACTTAGCTCCAGGTCGTGATTGTTCATTGGTTCTTCAAATGCTGGTCGGTAGCCCATGCTGCTGGATTTCCAGGTCAGAGGTCGGAGATGACCGCCACAGCCATGTAATCCCCATGGACCATCAGGGAGGTGGGCACCACCCTTCCTGTGCAGCGGGGGTTGTTTTAGACCGATGGGCATTGGTGGGTAAGCTGACAGGGATTCTAGGGTGCAGGGCAGGAGGCACCAGTGGGAGGGTGTTGAGGGAGGAGTACATCTTGCATTTTGTACTGATAAAGCAGCCCACCCATTTACAGAAAGATGCTGGGCACTTGCTCAAGGCCAAGCACATGTATCTAGGGCAGGGAGGAGGGAGAGGAGAATCCACATGGGCCTCAGTTCTCCCTTGAATTTCAGATTAAGCTTCTCTGAAAGCTCCAAAGCCCTATCGTGAGCACTCATTTCAAGCTCATGCTGGGCTCTGAGATGCTGAGAAGACTAGGGAAGCTTCACACCGGCATGGAGTCCACAGTCCTGGGGAGGAGTCACGGAAGTAGGCTGCTGCAAAACCAGATGGCTTTGTTTCAGGAACCGGAATAATGCAGACCACCGGACCCAGAGGACCTGGGGCAGCTCTGCTGGGTGGTTCGGGGAGAAGAATGGGAGTTCGGAGTGGGAGGAGGATGGGCATGGTGGGTGGGAATGCTTTCCAGGCATCACCGAGGCAGAACTGAAAGGACCTGTCTAGGAGCCGTGGGGACTTGGGGGACAGAGGAGTTGGGATGCATTGGCGTTAATGACAGACTCTATGGTGGTGGCAAGGTGAGCAGGCTACCTTCCCTCTCTGAGCTATCTTATAAATTCAGAGGCCAGGGCCAGCAGGTGGCATGGTGGCTAAGGTGCTGCACTTCCACATGGCCAACTGTGGTTCAAGTCCCAGGCCCAGCAGCTTGAAAATCACACCAGGCATGTGTGTGCCCAAAATCCCAAGAGGAGAATGGAGGAGAAGGGATTGTGGCATGGCCACCCCCCTTGAAGGGTGATTTCTCACTTTTCTTCTCACTGTCTCTCCTCTGTGAGTGCATGTTCCCTATGGCAGAAACCTAAAAATAAATACAGAGGCCATTGTTTCTGAGAGAATTCTAGGTGTGGTTACTCTCCTGATAAATAATACAGAGTTCTCATTAAAACTTGGTGTTGGTGTCTGAAACAAGAAATGTTCTCATTGAGACACAAACTTGGGAATTTTATGGTTTTCCACTTAGAGATACAACGTTCCCTCTAACTAATAACTGTCAAATAAAGCTGAGTTCCCAGGAAGGTTTCTTTCATTTTTTTTAAGTGGCAGAGGGCATATGTACTCACCAGAGAGACAGAGGAAGTGCCTGTGAGTGGGTGTACACACCACAGTCCCGCCTCACCTCTCCATTCCATTGGGATCTGGAACTGGGATTTGAACTGCAGTTGACCACACGGGATCTGGCTCATTTAACCACTAGGGTACAGGACCAGCCCATCTACCATGTGCTTTTGAGATGTTTTCAACTCAACAAAGGAGGAAGGAAATGACCCAGAAGTGATCGTCCTGACTGGCAAGAATCGAACCCATGAAGGAGTTACATAGGACCAAGTTAAAAGGAGGCTGAAAGACAGCACATAAGGGTGGCGTGTGAAAAACCAACAGCAGGCAGTCTTGGAGGTAATCATTACTCCCTTATTGTGTTCGTTATTTCTGAGAGAACCTGTCGCCCCCCAGAGACATTCTGATTAAATGTGGTGGAGGGAGGAGGCCCAGCAGGCGTGAGGAGCGGCATGGGGAGGCTCCCCGTGAGCAGCTTTGGCAGCCCCTAGTCAGGGCAGGGCAGCTGAAATGGGGACAGCGGTCTGGCCAGGGCTGGCCACGGGGCCCTTTTCTGCCTGCCCAGAGAAGAGAGGAGCCACGACAGTGTGTTAGTACACCGCGTTACAGAAGATTATTTAGGAAATGGTGCCACCGCTGACACAAGGACAAACCCAGGGGGACGTAGGGGGGCTTTCAGGAAAGGTTTCATGACAGAACCGCTAGACGCTGCCTGCACTGCCTTCGATGGCTCCATGAAGGTTGGCTGTTGGGGCAGGGATGGCTGCCTTCCTCTGCTGTGAAGTACCGAGACCCCCGGGTTTTGCTTCCACCCACAGACACGCTAATACTCAGGTGCACTTGCTCGGCCTTCCCGCGACACCAGCTGTGCTGCTCTGGCCACGGCCACCCTCCTGTCTGCCCTCAGCAGGGCCGGGAAGATGAAGCAGCGTCTCTGAGGAATGTTGCTCTTTATTTTTTTATTTTATTTTATTTTTTTCTTGAGAGATTTTCACTGTAGGGCGCGTGCGCTCGCCAGACAGACAGAGAGAGACATAGAGACAGAAAGCGAGAAATCACCCCTCAGGGGGGATGGTCACGCCGCAATCCCTTCTCCTCCATTCTCCTCTCGGGATCTTGGGCATGCACGCACACGCGCCCGGCGTGAGTTTTAAGCCACCGGGTCCGGGACACGAACCGCGGTCGACTACGTGGGAGTCCAGCGACATAGCCGTTACGCTAACTGCTGGTTCCCTTTATTTTTAATTTACTGAGTTTATCTTATGCTCCTCCCTGAAGTTTCTTCATTTTGGCTTCTTCTGGAATGATATATTTTTTTAAGAATTATTTTATTTAGCTTTATTTATTATTATTACTATTTTCCAGTTTGATCAGAGAGAACAAAAAAAGAGAAAGAGAGAGGGAAAGTGAGAAAGCAAGCCACAAGGTCCAAGACTTGAACC